TCACATCTTCAGATATTTACAAATATTAATCAATCCTCAGGATGCTCACACACACACACACACACACACAAACCCTGTGAGGGAAGTTCAAAAGGTAAGTGGTTTTTTTTTTTTCTTTATACAGATGGGAAATCTGATACACAGTGAATTTAGGTGAATTACTCATGGCTACACAGGGAGTTAGTGTCAGATCTCAAGTGCTATTAGCTACCCAAAACATGGTCATTCCACTAGCCCACACTGCCTTTTGTAGATAAGAACTTCCCCACAAAAGGGGATCAAGTATAACAGCGTAGCACAAAACAATGAGAAATGTTCCATTTTTAGAGGCAAAAACAACTGACCTTTTATTCAACTCATTTCACAAGTGTTACTTTTAAAATCCACAGCTGAAGCAGAAGCACATGCAATGACATACAAATGGCACACTGTGACACTATTTTTTGGTATGGTCTCCGTCATTGTCATCCTGATTTCTTTACCTCTTAACCCTACCTAGAGAAACTCTTGTGGGGAAAGAACAGAAGAGATGCTGGAATTTCCTTCTCATCTGTGACAAATCCTAGTTTGGAACCTGTGGTCCTCTAGGCATAGGAAAGGTAGATGTTGGAATTAATGGGCAGGAGGGGGAAGAATAAGAGATGGATTAGTTATTTGGCATAAAGGTCCATGCCTATGACCCTTGGCTCTGGGGTCAATATGCTCAGGGGCAGCAAGTTATATGGGCCCGTGGTGCCCGTGCTCCAGAAAATTCAGGGCCTGGGGGCCCGGCTCCCTCAATGTTCGGGGCCAGGTCTCTCCCCTAGCCGCCCTGCGCGCTTCCCCTGGAGCATCCTCCAGCCCCGCCTGCTGCCCCTGCGCACCTCCCCTGGAGCGTCCCTGCCTGTGCCCTGGGCAGCGGGTGACTGCCCTGCCGCTCTGCGCTGTGCTCCCTCGCCGGTCACTGCTGGCTACAAAAGGGAGTGGCGCCGGCGGCAGGCTGAGGAGGCGCACACATGATGAGAGCCCCACCCCCATCCCTGGCACCTACCACAGGGAGGCGAGGAGGCTTCTGGACCTGAGAGGGGCCTGACCCCTAGGAGCATGTGCAGTGAAGGTGCCTGGTGAGTGTGCTGCCAGGGAGGAAGTGGGGGGTCCCTCCCCTGGAACTCGCTGCTGCAGGCGTGGAGAGGGCTGGGGGGACTGTGGAGTCCTCCTCTCTGGCCCCAGCCCCAGCCAGAGCCCTCACTCCTGCACCCCAAACCTCTGCCCTAGCCCTGAGGCCCTCCCACACCCCAAACCCCTCAACGCCAGCCCCAGCCAGAGCCCTCATCCCCCACACACCCCAACCGTCTGCCCCAGCCCTGAGCCCACACTCCAAACCCCTGGGCCCCACCCCATTAATTTTGTTATGTGCACCAATATGCAGGTGGGGGAGGGGGCGGTCAGGACTTTGACCCGTTCTTGACACCACCAAAAATTATACAAACCTGCTGCCCCTGAATATGCTGTCATCGCACACAGTCAAGGAGCTCAAATGGAGCACACTGCTCGCAGCATAGGCCATCTGCTCTCAGGAGAGAGGCAGGTCCTGGCATTAACATTTGGGGCTGCAGGAGCCTGCCAATGTCTGCTGGTGGAAGAGGGGAGCCCAGGCCTCAGTTGTTGCTATCCTAGTGTTGGCGGCAGAAGTGGGGTCCTGGCTGCTGCTGTGATATTCTTGGGCAGCAGTGAAAAGGAAGAAGACCTGCGGTGCCATTGTTTGCCTCCAGGGGCTGAAGGAGGGAGTTCTCCTGGCCAAACTACTGCTTTCCCAGGGTAGCTGATGTACAGGGTTCCACTCACCACACGCTTGCCAGGCAGAAGGGTCTGTTAGCTCAATCCAGTTTGCTTAGCAAAGTGGGCATCTCGACAGGCATTTCAAGCATGCTAAGCCAACTAGAGGGAGCCAACACGATTCAAACACAGCCTTTCCCCCTGTGGGGCACTGCTGCCCCTCTGGAGCAAGGATCCCAGAGATGGTGACATTGCCTAGTGCCTGAAGCAGGGGGTAGCTGGGAGGTGGGAGCCTGGGATGTCTTTCAAGGGTTAAAAGAATGAAGTCATTTAGTGCTAGGTCTCCCCCCACCTCTGGCTGAAATCTCGGGTCTCCCCAGCGCCTCATCTGAATCCTGTCGCTGACTTGGCTATGAAATCTGGGGGGAGAAGGGAGAGGAAGAGGCTAGTCCTGCTTTGTACCAAGCTAGCTCCAGTGTGACTCCTCGAGGGGCTCCCACCAGCTTTGAGGCTGGCTCCTCAGCGCCTCTTTCCATGTGTGTTTTGTGTTAAACACCCACCCCCCGATCTGCTACAGCCACTGCAGCAGGAGGGAGAAGGGATTTAACCCTTCCCAGCCGGCAGCGGAGCGCTAGCTCCGGCACAAGAGAAAAGGGTGGGAGGAGAGTTGAGTCTGGCTGCCCGCAGCTTCTCTGGTTGAATGATTTCAGTTAGGGCACCGCACCCTATCTAGGGTTCCGAGCTCTAATTTAGCTGTGTTTCAAGGAACCCAGCAGAGCAGATGCAACGCAATCAGTCTGTGGTCACTGAAGAGTTAAAAAAGCTGCTTAAATCTTCTCTTTAGAAAAATATGAAACCCAAGGGGTGGAGACCACTAGCTAAAGGAAACGTTTAAAGCCAACTTGGCTTTGTTATGCAAGTTGAGTTCCTTCTGGGGCAGCAGAGATGCGAAGTGCAGGCAATGCAGTGGCTTCAGAGACTGAATCCTTTCTGAGCAAGGTAAGCATTGGGAGCACAGTTTGGGACGCTGGCACTAGGAAAACAGCTTTTTGGTATAAATCCCCATTTAGAAATCAATGCTCCGAGTGAGTCTTCCCCAGAATAAATGATGGATTACTGACTCAAGAGCTTCCTTCATAGGCAGCTGAGCCTCCCGTTACTTTCTGCTGGAGTAGATGTGGGTTTAGCTTTAATTATTATTACTCATGTTTATTATGGTAGTGTACCTAAGGAACATCCAGGAATGGAGGCCCATTGTGCCAAGCACCATACAAACACAGAGTTTATGTAGTTTCTGCTTTGTGATTCTCATTTTGATAAGTGAAGTAGAATAGCCAGTGTCCTTAGCAGCTGTCAACTATTCAGCATTAGCAACTGTTTGGCCAGGAGTAGGCAAAGAATATTTCACAGTAAAATTACACAAATTTGTTAGTGAGATCTCTGAGAGAATTTGATAGAAAAGTAATAATCTGATCACTCAATAAATCACTCCTGTATATCACACCTTAACATGCTAGGCACCTGGGACTCCACTTTCTGCTTCTCTACTTCTATAATCTTTTATTTTCTGCTTTCCTTGCATTATTTAACACAGCTAATTTGCTTTTGTTTTACTTCCACCCTTAAGTGGCACCTATAATTTTGCAAGCCTTATAAATTTACTTTTTTGTGTGTTTATACATGTATATTTGTATTTGCAATAACTAAATTCCAAACTGACATTTGCTCATTCCTTTGTTTCAAAACGTGTTTGATAGCTTATTTTATTTGCTTTTCTGAATTTTACACTGGCACAACTTTTGCAAAGGATGATCTTGCCAAATAGAAGTGATTAGGGGCAGCTTTTCTGCTTACAGCTTTGAGATGGGTCTCTTTACACATATCAGTGAACACCCACCCCTTTACCTCTTCTCAAGATGGCATCAATAAATTGCAGAACTGCCCTCCCTCACAACACATTTAGAATGTTAATAGTGGAAAAACAGTGAGGTCGCTCCAGCCAAGTGATTTTCATGCCGGACTTATTTTGTGCATTTTCAGTTGCATTTAAAAAAAATCAAGCCTTTTCTCTTTCTAAACCTGAACTTTTAAAAGGTGTTTCCTATGTCAAAAGTTTGAGAAATTGAGAGAAACAGATGGAACCTGTATTTTCCATTGACTTACCTTGGATCCCTCGCACCGGGTGAGATCCAGACACTCAGTGCAAGCCCCATTGCCTCCTACTTATTTGTGCAAATCTGCATTAAGAAAAAAAGTTTATTGGATGAGCTTTATCTATTTAATTTGCTGAACCATTTTTTTTACAAGGTGGGGGGAGAGGGTGAATGGACCTTACTGATTCGTTTGTGATCTAATATTTAAATCTGACATGCAGTGAAATGAACAGATTGTTTTATATTGTTTTCAGTTTGCCACCTTGTTTGCATCCCTTCCTCTGACTCTTTGCTTTGTTTATGCCCCTGCTTTAAGGGCTGTGGCGTCTGAGGTTACCCAGAGAGTACCAGACACTGGAGCCTCCACCTCAAAGATACTGCCACAAGGGTGGCCCGTGAGGTTTCTACTTGACTTCACCCTCTGGTGGGTGGCTGGAGAAGTGCCGCTCAGCCTGGAACCATGGGCTCTACCAGCAGCCGCCAGAAGAAAGTCTTCAATGACTCAGTCAGCGATTATGTCAACTCTGAAATCATTAAGAAACATTACAACTACACAGGGAAGTTAAACGAGAAGGCAGACAGTGGAATAAAAGTGACCTCAGTGGTTTTTATCATCATTTGTTGCTTTATCATCTTAGAGAACATTTTTGTCCTGCTGACCATCTGGAAAACCAAGAAGTTTCACCGACCCATGTACTATTTCATTGGGAATTTGGCTCTCTCAGACTTGCTGGCTGGGGTGGCTTATACTGCCAACCTTTTGTTATCTGGACACAAAACCTATAGTCTCACCCCTGCCCAGTGGTTTGTCAGGGAAGGCAGCATGTTTGTAGCTTTGTCAGCCTCTGTTTTCAGCCTGCTGGCCATTGCCATTGAGAGGTATATCACCATGCTGAAGATGAAACTCCACAATGGGAGCAACAGCTTCCGCTCCTTCCTACTGATCAGTGCCTGCTGGGTGATATCCATGATCCTAGGGGGGCTCCCTATTATGGGCTGGAACTGCCTCAACCACCTGCAGAGTTGCTCCACTGTGCTGCCCCTCTACCATAAGCACTATATTCTCTTTTGCACCACAGTTTTCACTGGTCTTTTATTATCAATTGTCGTCCTCTACTGCAGGATCTATTCCATGGTCAGGACTAGGAGCCGCAGTCTGACATTTCGAAAAAACATTACCAAAGCCACGAGGAGCTCAGAGAAATCTCTAGCCTTGCTCAAGACAGTGATCATTGTCCTGAGCGCATTTATTGCCTGCTGGAGTCCCTTGTTCATCCTACTCTTGCTGGATGTGGGGTGCAAAGTGAAGGCCTGTTCAATCCTCTTCAAAGCTGAGTATTTCTTAGTACTGGCTGTGCTCAATTCAGCCACGAACCCTATCATCTATACCTTAACCAACAAAGAGATGCGGAGGGCCTTCATCAAGATCCTGTGCTGTTGCAAATGCCCCTCTGCAGATTCTGGGGCCAAATTCAAGAGGCCAATCATAGGAGGCATGGAGTTTAGTCGAAGCAAATCTGACAATTCCTCCCACCCACAGAAGGATGAGGGTGACTGCCCGGAGACAATCATGTCTTCAGGCAATGTCACCTCGTCTTCTTAGAAGTATCCATCGGAGGCATATTTTAAAGCCTCCCCTTTGAAACCTGACAGACAAGAAGCTACCTGCTCACTGTAGCAACTCCAGAGAGATGGCCTAAGTGAGCAAGATAGCATTAGTTCTGAAGAGGCAAGCAGGGCACTTGCAAGGGTGGAGTTCAGGAAGTGGGACAGACTGTTCTGGCTTGAAAATATTTCCCTCTGGAGCATGTTTTGTCTTTGCACTGAGGCAGACTCAGGATTGCCAGGAGTATTCATAACTTGGAAAGACTGATGCCTTGGTGAAATGGTGCCGTGTGTGTGCGAGTGTGTGCATGACTGAGAGGCAGAAGGAGGAGGGTGGGAGAATGAATTGTTTTTTTCTTTGTGAAGAATGTGAAGTTATTATTTCTTTACTTGCAGAAAAAGCCCTGACACAAAAGATCTTTCTGTACCAAGTTTAGGGATAGCTCTACTATCCTGGGTCACAAGTGTTTGCCATTTGGCATGTAGCAGGAAGGAGATCACACCAATGTAATCTAGATCACTGACAACCATAGGTTGGCATCACTTTCCTGAGTTTTTAGATGTAATAAGATTTCATCTGCGGAGTCCAAAGCTTTTCTTTAGCAAGATCAGTTCTGTGAAGTTGTGCTGAAAATCCATATTACTTTTAAGATCATGAGCCAGATTCTGCATTAGATTGCATTCATATAACCCCAAAGAAATCAATAGGATTGAATGGGAGGAGCTCAGAATAGCATTTGGCCCCATAGATCTATTGATTTGTTACATTTAGTATGAAATAAATTACATGACCATAATAGTTACAGGATAAAACTACAGTTAAAGAGAAAATGAACATGTGACATTTGACAAGATAAATATAATACAGAAGCTCCCCGACTTATGCAAGGCGTTCCGGAACGGTTTTTTGCGTAAGTCGGGAATTTATCTCCGACAATTACACACACACACACACACACACACAAAAAAAGCTTATGGAACTTACAGAACTTTTTCCGTAAGTCCAGATTTCCGTAAGTCGGGTTTGCGCAACCCGGGGAGCGTCTGTAGTATCAAGTACTATTAGCATCAGTGTTTTTGACTGAGTAAGGACAGAGTAAAAACTGAAAAAGAATTTCAGGATTTGGCCCATAGAGTTTCCATAGTAAAGACTGATTAGAAAATCTGTATAGAATACCATGAGATTCAGAGAATCAAAAAAGGACCTTTGTCCAAGTGAAATGGCTTTTGATGACATATAAATGTACTTCCATAACAAAACGCAAGAAATTTTTTGACACTTACTTTGTGTTCTTTGTATTAGAATGTTCATAATTTCAGCAAAGATGTCTGTATTTTATCAATTCACGTAAGAAATACCTTTAATTTAAATTGAATGTATTTGTTTTATGGCATCATTTCTATTACAGTATTTTTCTAACCTGCATTAAGGGGGTTGAATGTATACAATATATATAATTAACGAGATGCAGAAGTCTTCAAACACCTAGAGCATTACTATAACAAAAAAGTGTATCGGGGTAGCTGAACAATTGATTAATGTACAGTTATTGTCGAAACCTAGAAGTGATTTTCTATAAAAATGTCTTTGTAGTATGATTTCCAGTGCAATTAAACTGATTTTTTTCTTTGTTTTTAAAAAATAGTATTTAAAATGTTTGACTTTTATTGTTCAATTTGCACATAGCTTTATTGATTTCTAAACATTAATAAACTGATTTTTTTAAGATGCTACTATCACAATTTTTTTTGTACTATCATCAAGATATGGAGCATGATTCATTGATCATAGACGTCAGTGGAAACACTCTCATTGATTTCAATAGACATTGGATCAAGCTGATTCTGCATGACATTTCTGTTCAATTAAGGACAGATCCATAATGACACCTTTATTTACAAGGCAATATAAAAGGGTACAAGAACAGGTGCTCCAATAGAAAGGTGATGGGTGCCAATAAAAGAACCTGGATATATCTATGCTCCAGATCAAGAAATTTCACTATGGCAAATAATGGAGATTACTGCAGTTTACTGTCCAGAATGGAGTAAGTGAAATACCATGTAATTCAGGAGATCATGCATTAGAAATTAAGTTATATATTAACCAGTCCCATTTTTGTTATATTTATCTATGGAAATGGGGGGGGGGAATCTTTAAAAATAGTTGTGAATTTTGCTGTCAGCTTATTACAAACATCAAGGTGGTTTATATTTAAAATATAAAATCAGAGCCTCAACTGGTGTAAATCAATGTCACTCCACTGACTTTGTTAGCTGAGGATCTGGCCAATGTTTTTCAGTAGCTACTGTATTTCTTCCAAGATTTGACTCTTCCATTTCCCGTATTGCTGCCATTCTCTCTAGGTAATACTTTAAAAGTTTCATTGAGCTTATACAGGATACAGTTGGGGCGTAAAGATAAAACTCACCTTCTTATGCAGTACGTCATTTCTGTGCAAGGTTTACTGTGGGAAACTGGAGCCTACTAACTGAGGAAGGCTTTAGGTCAGAACCTCTCACTTCCTGAAGGAAATTCCAAAAATGCCCTGAAGACAAAAGAGTGGAAACAGACTGGAATTTCTCTCCATCTGTCTGCCTGTACGGAAGGAATGATTTCATGTATGCTCACTTCCTAGGCTTTTTAATTACTGTCCCGAGCAAAGCTGGAAAAAATGTCAAATCCGTATTTGTGCAAAAGATAAAACTTTTCTTGGCTTAGGCCTTCATTCTGGCAGTGACTTAGGGCACTGAGGGGCAATAGGGAATATAAGCTAAATCCTCTGTGTATGATTTATTCTCCTCCCCACCATGCAGAGGGCTGGAATGAGGATTTTGCACTACTTACGTTACACTTAAGCCCTCAGAATGAGAACTGATGTAGTTCAATAGATAGAACCCAAATCTCCATCAATTGCCCTATTTCCAGCTGCTGTATGGCCATGGGCAAGTAATTTTCTCTGTTCCTTTGTTCCCTCTTCCCACCCTTTGTCTGTCTTGTCTATTTAAGTTGTAAGCTCTTTGGGGCAGGGACTGCCTCTCATGATGTGTTTGTACAGCAGGGGGCCAGTTTTGATTGGGGCCCTCTAGACACTACTGCATTTCATGCAATAAATAGAAAGTGATGTGTTAGCCTCATACTAACCCCCTCTGCACATGGGTGTATATCAGCCTTTATGAAGGAACTCTTCTGATACAGATGACTGATAACTCACTTCCTGGCTAGTTAGGACATACCTGCTCATTCTCAAAGAGATTCATACTTTGGGAATACAGGTGATGTCATATCTAATAAAAACTAGGGGTTCATGCCAGGAAGTGAGACGTATAGATCTACTTAACCTCTTTCTCTCTTTTCTATGTGGATTCTCTAGGCCACTGACATCTATTGCAATAAATCAACAGGTTTATGCCAGCTAATGAGCATTCTACCCTGTAGAACAGGCACCTTCCTACTTCACAGAGCTGCTCCCTGTACACAGGGAGTCAGATCCATTTCACTTTCATGGCAAAAATAAGTTTTCACTGCCTTTTACTCCTGTTAGCCCGGCTGAGCCAACACAGCAACAAGAGATGGAGCTGGATTGTATTCCTCCTTGTGGAACATCAACTGCATTTTACATTCCATTCCAATTAGTTACCTGTGCAAAACCAATGGGTTTCACAATAGTCACCAAGGGCTGTGATCTGGTCCCTTTACATTTTGTTTCTGGGCCATAAAGGGCTTGAAAATAGCTGTATCTTGGCACCTGGGTATTCTCCTGGTGCAGAGTTCCCTGGGTGAGGTAGGGTGAACAAAGTTGCTGTGCCATCCTCCTGTAGTGACCAATGTTTGTAGGGGATGGTAGTGGGAATATTATGTAATGGAGGAGTTGTGGTCAGAGTGCTCTATACTCCAGATGTTTGGGGAACCACAGTGCAGTCAAAGTGGGATGTTCAAAGTTATTCTAAGGAAAAGCAATCCCTGCATCTGCTGTAAATTATGCTGAGAACGGGGGCCAAAATTGGGGAGGCACAAAGGTAGCTATGGTCTTGACATCATCCAATCCCCTTGACAAACCACCCTCCCCACACCAGCTCCAATCCACTCTAAGGCATCCCTCATTGTAACTAACTACAGAGCTAACAGTTCTCCAAGTATGTAGAGAGGATTACATTGCCTTTGGAAGGAATCTCACAGCACGAGCTCTTTCCAGCATTTAATTTTGTCTGCCAACCAGTGTCCAGACAGTCCAAGTGCACTTCACATTACAAGTCACCTCTACTAAAGTTGGAATTGCTATCCTTGGAACCTGCTCTCTTCCCAATGCCAGAATTCACAACAGGATGAGTTATCCTACAGGCAGGCAGCCACTGTGCAAAATGAACTCAAGGAAAGAGATTATGCTTAGTGGTTTAGCCACTCTTATGTACGCAATATGTTACTCTTGCATATATTATAGAGGTCACAGAATTAAAGTGTCGCAAGGAATAAATGTGATGAAAGAAAGGCAAGAACAGGATGCTTTGTACATTTCCACCCGTAGTTTCACGTGAGGTTCCGGTGCATGGATCTAATTTTCTTCTTCTCATATAGTTTTTTTCATTGCAGATGTCTTACTGCAGTTCCATCTGTGGTTATTACTTGTGGTTATGTCAACAGAGCGGCTATTATAAGTATAATTTCAGTTTCCCCAAAATTTGGTTGTTTGCTAATTACCTGTCAGCCTTGAAAATGAAATTAACACCGCAGGAACCTGGTAATCAGACTTTTCCTTTTCACCCCCACCAAAGTTCTCTGTCCTGCAGGTAAATCACTTAGGAACTCCAGTAATATTAACTCTCATTAAGCACTCTACCACAAGGTGCTGTCCACAAACCCCTACAGGGCACACTTCAACTAGCCTTTTTACACACGAAAAGTGAAAGTTGACAGCCATGTGGCTATGGATGAAGAGCTAGTGAAAGCTGTAGCTATGGGAATGACACTTTTACCAGAGCGGCGTTTGAATCTCTAAACGTACACTACAATTAGACATCTGCACCTGGCCCATGCCAGCTGACTCTGGCTCATGGGGCTCGGGCTAAGGGGCTGTTCAAGTGTGGTGTAGATATTCTGGCTGGGGCTGCAGCCCAAGCTTTGGGACCCTTCTGCCTCACAGGACCCTAGAGGCTGGGTGCCTGGCTGAAACCAAACATCTATACTGCAATTAAACAGCCCCTTGGCCCAAGCCCAAGTCAGCTGGCACAAGCCAGCCATGGATTTTCAATTGCAGTGTAGACATACCCTAAATATTCAGTGTTTAACTGGTATATTGATGTTAGTTGAGGCTTTAAAGGTCTTGATCTTGCACCATTGAAATTAATGGGAGTTTTAGCATTGGCTTCAATGGGAACAGTATCAGGCCCATAGTAAAAAACAAAGATCCATTGGGTTGCTTGAATATCACTCTGTTTTAAAAAAATAATTCTTACTTCTGCTTGCACTCCTGTCAGTCACTACAGGATTTCCCTACCATGTTGTGAGCAAAGTTGATTGTGCCTGTGAGTTTCAGAATGAGACTCTGTGACCTCTTGAACCTCAGCTCCACCCTTCACTGTCACACCAAAATTAACTGTTATCAGAAACAAAAAGTCTTCATCAGCAAAAATAAAAAATTGTTTTGTTTGGTTGAGTGTCTAGAGTAGACCAAAATGAATCAACAGCAAGG